ACATGTACACAGTTTTGATGGTTTTAGTTCCCCACATGTTTCGTGGGGTTCTGGTTTTCTTCCCTGCCGCGGCGCACCGGCGTCTCCTCACCTCCCCTCCTCCACTTCATTCTTCTCCTCAACCCGCGGTCAACACATGCACGGCAAGTACATGAGACACGCGTCTACATACAGCCGCACGCATGCACGTTCACTGCATCATACACCCAAGACGTCTGCACAATCCGTGAGGGTCGTCCAGGGCACAGCAGGCATGGCATATTCTCGACACCATAGGGGGTGCGCAGGGGGTGGTTTCTCACAACGGCCGCTATCCGTGACGGTCGTCCAGGGCATAGCAGGCAGGGCATATTCTCGACACCATAAGGGGGTGCGCAGGGGGTGGTCTCTCACCGCGGCCGCTATCCGTGACGGTCGTCCAAGGCACAGCAGGCATGGCATATTCTCGACACCATAGGGGGTGCGCAGGGGGTGGTCTCTCACCGCGGCCGCTATCCGTGACGGTCGTCCAGGGCACAGCAGGCATGGCATATTCTCGACACCATAGGGGGTGCGCAGGGGGTGGTCTCTCACCGCGGCCGCTATCCGTGACGGTCGTCCAGGGCACAGCAGGCATGGCATATTCTCGACACCATAGGGGGTGCGCAAGGGGTGGTCTCTCACCGCGGCCGCTATCCGTGACGGTCGTCCAGGGCACAGCAGGCATGGCATATTCTCGACACCATAGGGGGTGCGCAGGGGGTGGTCTCTCACCGCGGCCGCTATCCGTGACGGTCGTCCAGGGCACAGCAGGCATGGCATATTCTCGACACCATAGGGGGTGCGCAGGGGGTGGTCTCTCACCGCGGCCGCTATCCGTGCCGGTCGTCCAGGGCACAGCAGGCATGGCATATTCTCGACACCAGAGGGGGTGCGCAGGGGGTGGTCTCTCACCGCGGCCGCTATCCGTGACGGTCGTCCAGGGCACAGCAGGCATGGCATATTCTCGACACCATAGGGGGTGCGCAGGGGGTGGTCTCTCACCGCGGCCGCTATCCGTGACGGTCGTCCATGGGCGCATAGGTCGTCCAGGGCAGCAGCATGGCATCTGCGCGTCTCTCCGTGACGGTCGTAGCGCGCGTGGTGGTTCTCACACGCAAGCAATCATACAGTCGTCCAGGGCACAGCAGGCATGGCTCTCGACACCATAGGGGGTGCGCAGGGGGTGGTCTCTCACCGCGGCCGCTATCCGTGACGGTCGTCCAGGGCACAGCAGGCATGGCATATTCTCGACACCATAGGGGGTGCGCAGGGGGTGGTCTCTCACCGCGGCCGCTATCCGTGACGGTCGTCCAGGGCACAGCAGGCATGGCATATTCTCGACACCATAGGGGGTGCGCAGGGGGTGGTTTCTCACAACGGCCGCTATCCGTGACGGTCGTCCAGGGCATAGCAGGCAGGGCATATTCTCGACACCATAAGGGGGTGCGCAGGGGGTGGTCTCTCACCGCGGCCGCTATCCGTGACGGTCGTCCAAGGCACAGCAGGCATGGCATATTCTCGACACCATAGGGGGTGCGCAGGGGGTGGTCTCTCACCGCGGCCGCTATCAGTGACGGTCGTCCAGGGCACAGCAGGCATGGCATATTCTCGACACCATAAAAGGGGGTGCGCAGGGGGTGGTCTCTCACTGCGGCCGCTATCCGTGACGGTCGTCCAGGGCACAGCGGTATCGGCGGGGCAACCGCCATCAACATCATTCTCACATGCTTCACTTCAGCTCTCATCACTCCAGCCATAATATAAGTATGTGGGGTTCCTCGGTAGCGTAATTAGTAATGCGAAGCGGAGTGAGATGAACGAAAACCACGAGGGAGGGAGTTCCCGCGCGCGCCGCCAGGATGAGCGCTGGAGACGGCGGAGGGCTGGCCGCATGGAGCGGGGTGGCGAGGTGGGCGGAGAGCGCTCGGAAGGCCGCTTTTTTTCCTGCTCCTGTTTCACCGTCTTTGTTGTCGTTTTTCGTCCTCCTCCTCCTCGCCCCCGTTCCCCCTCCCTTGGGCAGAATTGTCAGTGGACGCTGCGCCTGGTATTGGGAAGGCCGTGCGGCAGGTGCCGCCGACCCTCGAGGGCCCCAAGACGGCCCAGGAGGCCTCCAAGACGCCCAAGATGGCCTCCAAGACGACTCTCAAGGGGACGACGACGACGACGACAGCGGCTGCGGCAGTGACGACGATGTCGCTGACGCTCTGGAGCCCTTCTTGGGGCTCTCCTGTGACACTCTTGGGCTCGGGGGGCCTCTCGGGGGACTTTTTGGGAAGCTCCTTGGTTACTCGGCGCCGCCTCGGAGCGGATCTCAGGCCTTGTGGAAGCATGTGGGGAAATACGCGGCACCCCGCAAGATCAGATAAGAGTGGGGATGGTGCCTCTGGGGGGGGTCGGGGAGGAGGGTTGGTGGTGCTGGTCCCCATGTCCACCGGGGGGAGGCGGAGGGAGGGGTCTCTGCTCCTCATTAAAGGGCCCCCCCGTCTCCCTGGTTCACACGGAGGGCCGGAAGGGGGAGGGCGGGGGAGGGTAGTAGGAACGGGCCTTTGTGAGTTCTCCGGCCCCCCTGTCCACTGCCGAAACCGCGGGGGGGGGGGCAAGGAGTCCCCCCCGTCCACAGGGGGGGACATTCCTTGTCCCCCCCTTGTCCTCAGGGGGGGGCCGGGCGGGAGGAGCGGAAGGAGGGGGTTCCTGAGTTCCTCAATGTCCACAGGGGGACCCGCCCCCTCGGGGGGAAGTTCGCGACATTGGGATCCCTCTGTCGACTTCCCCCGGACGCCCCCGGCAACCCCCCCCGGCGACCCCCCCCGCTGGCGGGGAAGGGATCAAAGGGAAGGGGCTTCCCCTCGTCTCAGTTACGACGTTGTTCCATTCCCGTTTGGCTGGATCGCTGGGGAAGGAGGGTCCAGGAACCGGGGAGCGGCGGCGACGGTGACGGCGACGGTTCAAACGGAGAAACGTCTCGAACACGCTGACGGTCGGCGGATTCGGGAAGTTGGGTGGGCATGCGAGCAACATCGAACGCCTTGTCTGTTGGAGTAAGTTTGCTGGGACGCACGAGCCAAGTCCCGATGGTGACTACCTCGCAGCAGTCATGAGAGCATTGGACCTTCGTGATGACCGCCTTACCAGGAACAGTACCGTATGCTACTGGATAGTGCACCTCATCGTCTTCGCAGCGTCGTGGCCCCTGTGTAGAGCTAGTGGATTTGTTTGGCAGCGGGGGTAGTGCATTCTGTTTGTCTGCAAGGGCTCGCGTGGAACCAGCGGTGTTGGGGCTCTCCTCCTCCTCCTCCTCCCTCCTCCTCCTCCTCCTCTTCCTCCTCCCTCCCTCCTCCCTCCTCCCTCCTCCCTCCTCCCTCCTCCCTCCTCCCTCTTCCCTCCTCCCTCCTCCTCCTCCTCCTCCTCCTCCTCCCCCTCCTCCTCCCCCCAGGGTCGGCGGAGAGGGCGCCGGGAGCCCGAGCCCCTGCCCCTCGGGAGGCCCTCCCCCCCTCGTGGCCACCCGCGGGGGGCGCGGAGAGAAGAAGCCGCGGCCTGCGCCCCGCGGCGGGGTCGCCGCAGCGCCGACACGACACGAGCCTACCGCACGCAGACGCTACATGCGCGCACGGCCTGCCTTGGGGCGCGCACGCGCCAGGGTCGGCGTCGATGCAGAGTTGCCCCCGCCCCACGCGTCTCTACGCCAGCACGCGCGCACCCCGGACAATTTTGGGTCGGCAGTGTCTCGGACCTGAGAAGAAGCACCGTGGGGCCCCGGGCCAGGCAGGGCGCACCTCCTGCGGGGGCGGCGCGGGAACGCGCAGGTGCCCGCGCGTCGCAACATTCACTGCTTCCCTCACGTTCGAATGATCTTCGCGTTGTCACCTTTTCGAATTTCTGTCAACCCAACACTTCCCACGAGGCCTTCAAGATGGCACCACTACGGCCCAAGATGCCCCCCCAAAAAACAGCAAGACGGCCCAAGCGGGCCTAAAGATTGCCCCCAAAAAACCTTCAGGGCAGCCCCAAGGATGCCCCGAAGAGGCCCAAGGGACCCCCCACACGACCCGCCAGGACCGCGGGGCGCGGCGCGCGCAGTTAGTCGACCCAGCTCCCACACGGCGACTCGCGTCGTCCCAGAACCCTGGGTGCCGACAGCAGCTGCTCCCCGGAAGTCGCGCACTGGGGGTCGCTCTCGCCTGGGGTCCCTCCTGCGTGTACATAGGGGACGAGCAATGACATGAACATAAGAACTCAGAGGTCCGCGCGGAGATTTTTTGCATCGGCGCTGGACCCCCTCCCCGTCGCGCGGAGCGCCGCCAGGGGGGCCCCAGCGCGGATCCAAGAGATCCGCGCGGACCTCTGAGATTTTATGTTTATGCCATGTCTCGCTTCCCTAATATATCGGCGCGTTTAGTTGCTAATTAGGCCGCTTTCGTGACCCGTATCGCTCCTGACTCCGCTAGCGCCTTCGCTGGTGGACGCGACCGAAAAAAACAAATCCCTAATATGCCCCCCGTCGTGTTCTTTTCCGCTGCGCGAGAACATGTCTGGGCGGGGAGGCGGCGGGCGCCCAGGTCCTGCGGCCTCCGCCGCCGCGGCCGCCCCCTCGCGCCGTCCCGGCCGCCGTTCTCCTCCCCTCGCCTCAGGGATCGTCGAGGGCGGCAAAGAGGGGGGTGATGCACTAGGGGGGTGGATATCATGGCGCGGGCCATGATATTTCCCCAGATTTCATGGCACCTCTTCTTATTTCATTACGTCCCTGGCCCCCCCGCTGGGCCGCGCACATGCCGCCGGTCATGATTTGCACCCCCCCTCTTGGACACCCCCCTCTTGGCCGCTCCCGAGATCGAGGAGCAGGGCACGGGGCCCCGGAGCTTCCGCGGGCGCGTTCCACCTACTCGCAGAGTGCCTGCTCGCAGGCGTCCGAAACAAACATGTGCTCCTTCAGGTACTCGTTCTCTTATGCATCGTTTTGCCGATCGGCGCGGGCCCTCGCCCCCCCCCCCCCCCCCGCGTGGAGTGGATCTTGGCTGTGTTTGGGCGCCTGTTTCGACCAGGTGGACTCTCCCCCATAGGACGCACTGCTGCAAACAGTCGCATTAAGCAGAAGTCCAGAGCCAGACCTCCCCCCTCCCACCCTCCTTCCGTGCAGTGTCGAAACGCCGAATACCAAGGGAGGAGAAACGACCCGGACCCAACAACGAGCGTCTACTAAACGGCCCTGGGCGTTTACTGAACAGCCCTGCCCTGTTCGATCCCTTCTTTGGGCGCGCTTGCGAAACGACTCCGCGTGCAGGGGTGGTTCTGATGGGGGTGGATTTCTGAACCTCCAGAATGAGAAAACGTTGACCATGTGATGTACAGTGGGGGCGCTGAAGAAGGAACCCTTTTCGTTGGGGAGGGGCTCGGTGTTCCTTGATTGTTGTGCAATTTGCCTTAGGTTCCCCTAAGGTTTTCCATAGGAAATCGAAGTTTAACTTTTGGGGAAAAAGGGACCTCGTTTCTTATTTTGGGTTCCTTAGGTCAACGCCCCGACTGTATCGTAAATCCCCCGTGGCGGATCCAGGCCACGTGCGAGCAGCTACTCTGCGAGTAGTGGAGCGCGCTTGTCCAGGCGTGTGCCCTCCCCGCGCCTCCGCCCCCGCGGATCGAGCGGCCGAGGGCCGCTGTCAGCCGCTCGGGCAGCTCTGCACCCAGGGAGGCCTGCGAGCACACCTCCTTGTCCGTCGGGCACGTCCCTGCCACTGGAGGACTATTCAAGAAGTGTCAAAAGATAGGAAGCGGACGATTTTTCTACTACCTTTTGACTCTCATTTTTGAGTATCTGTTGCCAACATTCCGCCTCTAGGAGGACGTGCCCGACCTAGACCCCCTGGCCCTTTCACGGCCAGGGGCAGCAGGACGAGGCACACGAAAGCCTTCCCGCCACCGGGGCCAGCCAGCCGGGAGCAGGCTCGGGCGCTTCCCTCTTCACCCGTGCCTCCCGCCCGGCGCGGGCGCCGCCGCCCGCGCCGAGGCGGGGCGGCCCTACCGCGCGCCGGTCCGACCCTGGTCTCGCACGGGGCCCCTCCTGACCGCACGCCGCCGAGCCGATCCAGCCGCCTCCTCCTCCTCCTCCTCCTCCTCCTCTTCCTCCTCCTCCTCTTCCTCCTTCTCCTCCTCCTCCGGCTCTCGCTTCTTCGGCGGTGGCCAGCCGCCGTCTCCCCCGACCATTCGATCGTCCGTCCTTGGGAACCGCGATCTCTGCGCGGGCTTCTTGGATCGGCGCTGGGCCAAGCGCGCCAGGGGCGGCGCCAGAGGCGGCGCCAGGGGGGCCCAGCGCCGATCCAAGGGCTCCGTCCGGAGCTCCAAAAGTTCATGATCGTGCGGCTTCCTTGTTCCTCGATCAGTGGGGGCGGAGGCACGGGGAGGACACACTCCAGTGAGCTGAGGGGTGGGGGGAGTTTTTGGCGGAGCTGTGGCATGGGAGCCCGACGCCGATCCGAGAAATCCTCGCCGAGCTCCAAAAGTTTACGCAAGGACCGACCACAAGGCTGTCCAGCTTGGCTTGGGCCCTTGCTTTGTTTTCGTTTTGTTTTTCGTTGTTGTGTCGTTTCGTTTTCCGTGGTTGTTTCAAACGCGCCGTTTCGTCGTTCGCTTTCGGCTTACGCCAGCCTTGTTCTTAGCGTTCGTTTTGAGCGTTGGGCCTCGTTTCGCTGCTCGTTGTCAACGCCGTTTCGTTTGAAACGTCGTTGTGCTCGGTCCTCGAGGTTATGTTTACAGTCGGGGCTCTCCTTAAGTGTTTCGCAGCTTGCCTCAGGCCTTCCTTATGTGTCTTCGACAGGAAATCGAAGGTTAACTCATGGAAAAAAGGGGCCTCGCTCCTTATTTTGGGTTCCTTAGGTCAAGCCCCCGACTGTACGCCTTTTTAAGGAACCCTAAATACGGAACGAGGCCCCTATTTTCCATAAGTTCACCTTCGATTTCCTGTCGAAAACATAAGGAAAGCCTGAGGCAAGCTGTGAAACATTTAAGGAACGCGGAGCCCCTCCCCAACGAAAAGGGTTCCTTAGGTCAACGCCCCGACTGTATGTTTACGCCTTTTTCTGGGCTGGTCCAGCGAGCACCGATGCGCGGCAGGTGGTCGCGGAGCAGGCGCAGGGCGCCTACGAGCAGGTGCAGAAGGCGGCCTCTCTCCCCCCCTCTTTCTCTTGCCCTCCACTTCCTCCTCCACTTCCTCCTCCTCTCCTCCTCCTCCTCCTCCTCCTCCTCCTCCTCCTCCTCCTCCTCCTCCTCCTCCTCCCCCTCCTCCAGCCTCCTCCTCCTCCTCCGCCGCCCTCCCCCGCGGGAGCGTCCGAGAGTGGGGCGGGGGATGTCGTCGCAGTCTTCTTTGTCTCTGTCTTTGTTTTAAGTTCTTAGTCTTGGTCTCAGTCTGAGTCTTTGTCTTCGTCTGAGTCTTCGTCTCAGTCAGAGTCATCGTCTTCGTCTGAGTCTGAATCTGAGTTCTTAGTCTCAGGCTTAGCCTCAGTCCGAGTCTGAGTCTTAGTCTTAGTGTAGTCTTAGTCTGAGTCTTAGTCCTAGTCTCAGTCCTATTCCTGGTCTTAGTCTGAGTCTTAGTCTTAGGCTCAGTCAACGTTGTCGTCGTCGTCGTCGTCGTCATCATTGTCGTTGTCGTCGTCGTCGTCGTCGTCGTCGTCGTGGTCGTCGTTGTCGTCTTCTCATTCTTCTTCTTTATCATTTTCATCGTCGGCGTCATGGTCAGTTTTTTCGTTTTGTGTGTGTGTGTGGAGAGTTCTGGGGTCCGATTCTTCAGGGGGTGTCGTCGCCGTTGTCTTCGTCTTCGTCTTTGTCGTCGTCGTCGTTGTCGTCGTCGTCGTCGTCTTCGCCGCCGCCGCCGCCGCCATGGTCGGCATCCGAGTGTTCGTTTCTGCTGCTGTCGTCGTTGACGTCGTCGTCGCCGCCGCCGCCGTTGTCGTCACCTTTGTCGTTGTTTCTGCTGCTGCTGCTGTCGTCGTCGTCGTCGTCGTCGTCGTCGTCGTCGTCATCGTCGTCCACGTCCCCCTTTCCTCCAACAGGGCGCTGGGGACCTGGAGCTCGGCGGAGCGCTCGGCGAGGGCAGCCAGCAGTGGGCCGGAGGCTCAGCGGCCCCGCTTGGTCTTGCTCCCAGCAGGGGGCCTGATGCCTTCGGCGCTGCGGAGGATGAGGAGGAGGAGGAGGAGGAGGAGGAGGAGGAGGAGGAGGAGGAGGAGGAGGAGGAGGGGGGGGAGGAAGGAGGGAGGGGGGAGGAGGAGGAGAGGAGGAGGAGGAGGAGGAGGAGGAGGAGGAGGAGGAGGAGGAGGAATAAGAACAGTAATAATAATGATAATAGTACTAATAATCATACGAAGACCTAAAAATAACAATAACACGATGACGACGATTATTCATAATAAAAACAAGAGCATACGAATAATACGAATACTAAGAAGATAACTACTAATCATACTAATACTACGACGAATACTAATAACACGAACAATACCAATACTTTCATTAGTAAGAGTAATACTAGGCATACTCAGAAGAAACATACTCATAGTGATAATGATCGTAGGAATGAAAACATACTATTGTTATGATCAAGTATGATGATATTACTAAGACAATTCATAATAATACGACTGAGGCTAATGCGAACAATAATACAACGAACCGTACTGATAAGTATTCTAAAAGTAATACGACGACTACGAATAATACTAACAATAATATGACGAATCATACTGATATTACGAAAACTACGAATTATTATACTACTAAGACTAGTACGATTAATACTATACATAATAATGCTAATACTTGTGCTACTGCGGTTGATACGAGGAATCATAATAACACATGCGATTCATACTACTAGTAGGAATACTATGAATACTAATCATCATAGCCATATTAACATTACTACTCATGCACATAGTAATACTTTAAAGCAACACTAATACTGATATTAATGATATTGCTATTCGTTTTAGTAATACTACTAGTAAGATATACAAGTCACATTCACACTACTAACAATTAACAGCACGAGTGATACTAATTCTTATTGTTTTATTCTTATTTATAGTAGCAATATAATACTCGTACTACTGATACTCATAATACTATCCATAATAACAATAATAACAAGAGGAGGAGGTGGAGGAGGAGGAGGAGGAGGGGGGATTTGGAGGGGGGATGGGAAGGAGGAGGAGGAGGAGGCGGAGGAGGAGGAGGAGGAGGAGGAGGAGGAGGAGGGAGGAGGGAGGAGGAGGGGGGATGGGAAAGGGGGGGATGGGGAGGGGGGAGGGGAGGAGGAGGAGGAGGAGGAGGAGGAGGAGGAGGAGGAGGAGCAGGAGGAGGAGGAGGAGGGAGACAGGGCCAGACAGGCCGCCCCAGGATGAAGATGAGTCGCTCCGCAGCGCTCCAGAACGCTCTCAGATCGCTCTGGAGTCCTCTGGAACTCCAGAACGGCCGTGGCGCCCGACAGATCCGCCAGCTCTGCTCCATCCCGATCCGATTCTATCTAGTCTCGGTTTTGGCTTCGTCTTACATGGCGTCGTCGCTATGCTATCGTTCGTGAGTCTTGTTTTGCTCCCAACCATCCTGTCGTTTTGGGTCGCCGTTTTGAAGAGACAGCTCCCCTCGTTCCTTCCTCCTTCCTCCCTCTTCCCTCTCCCTCCTCCCTCTCCCATCCCTGCCTCTGCCTTTCTCATGTCCATGTTGGTACACCCTCACAAGCTTCGTGGCCCAATAGGGAGCTCCACCTGAGGCCTCAGTTGGAAGATTTGCATGGCATCGCCGCCCCATTTCGGCACACACCTCATACGTTTCGTGGTACCGCCGCCTCCTTTCGGCACACCCCTCACACGCTTCGTGGCCCAATAAGGAGCTCCACCTGAGGCCCCAGTGGGACGGTTCGCGTGGCACCGCCGCCGCCAGGATAATTTGTTCGTCGCCCATGTGTGGTTGGACGGATGTTTGCCCGGCAAACATTGGGAGATCGCAGTCGTTGGGGGGCCGCTTGCGCGACCAACGTGTTGCTCGCGCCGCTGCAGCGCCTGCGACACAGGTCCCGCGCCCGCACTCGCCCACGTCGGCCAGCCGTTTCGCCGACCAACGTCGTCTGTCGTGCCGCCTCAGCGCTGGTTGAAAGTCTTGCACACTCGCACTCACCTTTGTTGGCCAGGCGTTTCGCCGGCCAACGTCGCTTAGGTCTCCGCCTCAGCACCCGCTGAGAATTTTGCACTCTCGCGCTCACCTGTGTTGGCCAGCCGTTTCGCCGACCACCGCCGCTTTGGTCAAGTTTAGTTGGTCGGCCGAGCCGATTGCCCGACCAACACCAGGAAGTTCCCAATGTTGCTCGGCCGTCTTTCCGACCAGCATGCCTCCCTCACGCTGTGCGAGAGTGCCCAGTAGTGCGAGCATGGCTGGGCCGTTGTGCGCTCCAGACGCGTCCTTCCATGGCCCGCCTGCCTGCTGGCCCGCAGTGAGGTGGTCCTGCGGCGGGCGCGAGTCGGGCGACGCAGCCCAGGCGTCTTCGTCGCGCGCCGCGGGCCACTCTCGAGTCGGGCACGCCCCTCTACAGGAGGAATGTATTCAAGAATGATCGAAGAATTTCCTGGGGGACGATGTTTTTTGCCCATTTTTGACCCTTTTTGGATATTCCTGGACTGCGTGGCCTCGTGTGTGAGCCTGGAGGGAACACACCAAGGCAATGGTACCGCAAGCGCAAACGCGGACGCCCGAAGCTAAAGTGGGCGGCGTGTGTTTTCCAGTACGCTTTCTGATCACGCCTGCAATCTTCGTGTGTAGAATTCGAAGCCCGACCTCAGCCTGGGCGGGTGCCCCCTCCCGCGCAGCAGCCTCCCCCCCTGGCGGGCCTCCTGGGCGGCCTTGGGCTCCAGCGCCAGCGCTCCGCGCGGGCGCTCTGCGTTGCAGGCGAGGGCCGGCCGCCGCCGCCTTCCGCCTGGCCCGCGGGGCTGGCACCGAGCCTCTGTTCCGCTGGACCTGGGGGAACGAGCAATGGCACAGACAGAACAAGTCGGAGGTCCGCGCGGATCCAAGAGATCCTCGCGGGCCTCCGAGTTCCCATTTTTATCTAACTTTTCGTTTTCCCCCAGGGCCCAGCCTGTCGCTGGGCTGTGCTGGAGCTGGCGGTGGGGTGGCTGCGGCAGCGCTTGGGCTGGGGCGGCAGGAGATGCTGACTGCAAGCGCTCGCACCGGGAGCTTTGGGGAGGCCCAGGTCGAGAACGCCCAGAACGCTGGCGTCGTCGACGTTGCCCCCATTTCCTGGCCTGCGCGAGGCCTCGCCCGCTTCGGACCCCCAGGCCCCGTCGTCAACACCGCCGTCGCCGCCTCCGCCGCCGTCGGGGGAGGGAGGGCGGAGGGGGGCGAAGCGGCCCCAGGCGGCCAGGATGAGTGCAGCAGCCTGGTCGAGCTCTTCAGTGGTGGTCCAACTGGCTGCCACGAGGCGTTGCTACTGCCGCACGGGGATGCTTCGAATCGGCGGGGAAGGGGTCGATCGTAGCAAGGACGGAGGAGGTGCCGCGGTGAGCGGGCCCGCGGTGCTGCTCGCTGCCACTGGGGGTGCAGCTGGGGACGTCGGGGCCCGCGTATAACGCGGACACGGGGCTGGGGTAGTTTCACGCGCTGCCAGTGGGATCAGGTCCGAGGAGCTGCTCGCTGCCACTGGGGATGCCGCTCGCGATGTCAGGACTCGCTCAGGCGGACACTGGAGTGGGGTAGGTTGGCGCGCTGGCATGGGGATCAGGTCCGAGGGGCTGCTCGCTGCCTCTGTGGATGCCTCTGGGTATGTCAGACCTTACGGATATCGCGGAAGGGAGGCTGGAGGAAAGGCCGAGCTTGATGGCCGTCCTGGAGCGTTCGACCTCGAGGTTCCCGAGCGAGTCCTCCTGATCCTCCACGTTCTCGCCGCCCCTCGCTTCTACTTTGCCCTCATCCTTCCGTGCTCCAGCGGCTCTCGCTTCTCTCACCCAATTCGTGAAGCCTCCCCCCTCGTCTTCCGTCTCCGCGCTGCGCCACGTCGTCGCCCACCACCTCCGCACTCGGGCCGTCGCCCACCTTCACCTGCCGCGCCCTCCTGCACTCCCGGCGTCTCCGCCGCCACCTGCCGCGCTACGTCGTCGCCCACCTCCACCTGGCGTGCCTCACCGCGTCGGAAAAGGGAACCCCAGGCGCGCACGTCCTGCGCCGGCCGCTGACAGGGGGCCAGCGCCGGCGGAGAGCACGTGACCGCCTTGCCACGGCAGACAATGGGGGTTCGTCTCCTCCCCCTCGTCGGGCCTCCTCCAGGCGCGTGAGAACTCTATCGAGGTCCCCGAGCGCCCCCCAGGGTGCCCCCCAGGATGTTCCCCAGGGTGCCGGTTGCAAACCACACCCTGTGCAAATCACACGCTTTGGAGTCGCCGTCCCGGGCTGTCGTCCACCTCCGCCTGCAGCGCCCACCTGCACATGCCGACCCCTGCCTCAGGAGCGAAAGAAGGACGTACACGTGCATGAACCCACGCTGGTTTCGAGACTACGCACTGCGCAAACGTTCGTATCACGCGGCCAGTCTCGCGGATCGATGGGCCGTGTTCATGTACATAGCTGGGCGCGTACAGTGGGGACCCATGACAAGAAACACCCTGCTTGCCTCCAGGATGCCCTAGGCTTCTTGGGTATCGATGGTTTTGCCATGGGGAGCGTGACGTTCCCACATCAAAAATCGATGGACGTCCTGGGTTCTCAGGGTTGGGTCTCTTGTGGAAGGTTTCTTGTGGTCGGTTCCCTACTGTACTGCCTGCCGGCACCCTCGCCCTCCTGTCGCTGCCAGGCCGCGGCCGCCGCTCAGGCCCGCGGCTCTGCGTGAGTGCCGCAGTCGCATCCCGTTGGGGAGGTCCGGCCCCGTGGCTCGCAGATGGCGCGCGCTGCGCGGGCCCCTCCTCCCCCTCCTCCTCCCCCTCCTCCCCCTCCTCCTCCTCCTCCTCCTCCACCTCTCCCTCCTCCTTCTCCTTCCCTTTCTCCTCCCCCCACTCCCCACTCTCCCCCCCTCCTTCTCTTACTCTCTTCCTCCCTCCCTTTCCTCCTCCTCCTCCTCCTCCTCCTCCTCCTCCTCCTCCTCCTCCTCTTACTCCTCCTTGGCTCTTTTCTCCTCCTCTTCCTCCTCCTCCTCCTCCCTTTCTCCTCCTCCTCCTCCTCCTCTTCCTCCCCCTCCTCGTCGTCCTCCCCCTCCTCTCCATGTTCACCCCCTCATCATCTTCCTCATCTTTTTCCGCGACGGCGGCCGCGGCGACGACGGCCGCCGCGGCGACGACGGCGACAGCGGCGACGCCGACACTGCGACGACGACGCCGACACTGCGACGACGACGGCGACGACGACGACGTCGACGACAAGGCCTTCAAGCATCGGCCACCGAACTCTCCCGGTGTACGTTCTGGCCAGAATCTCAAGGCGTATCCAGCCGTGGCTACGAGAAGCCACCTGCAGGCCCAGTAGGGGTGCAACACTGGAGCAGTCGGCATTACCTAAACATACTTTACTATGTGGGCGTCGCCCCCACCACCCCCCAAACTTCCCCACTAACGGCGATGCGCGTTCTTAACAGTGCAGTATTTCATGGCCTTCGGCCCATCCAGCCACCGTGCTTGGGTTGTGGCTACAAAGCCTGTTGGATGTTCGTTGGGATCTCGTGGGAGGCTGTTCGGTGGCCTCTTGGAGGCAGTTTGGACGCTTATTGGTGGCTGTTTGGGGGCCTCTTGGGGCCCCTTTTGGCCTCTTGGGGGCCTCTTGGAGGCCTCTTGGCCTGCTGGGCGCCTTTTTCGGTCTCCTGGGGGCATCTTGGGGCGAAAGGCTCGGATTTTCGGTTCGTGTTCTCTCTTTTAGGTCCCTTTTGGGGCCGTCTTGGGGCCCTCGTGGGTCGTTTTGGTCGCCTCTTGGGCTGTCTTGGGGCCCTCTTGGGGTCTTGGGGCCTCTTAGGGCTGCCTGGGAGCGTCGGGAAGCCGAAAAGGCGAGAACGCCCAAACTTTTCAAATACCAAAGGAACCTACATGATTTTGGCCTCTTGGGGCCCTCTTGGCAGGCCTCTTGGAGGCCTCTTTGGACGTCTTGGAGACCTCTTGGGCCGTCTGGCGGCCATCTTGGGCGTCCTCGGGCGATCTTTCGGCGATTCGGAGCCCTCTTGGACCGTCTTCGGGGCCTCTTGAGGTCCTCTTTGCCCGTCTTGGGGCTTTCTTGGGCCCGAACAAGTCAGGCGATAACACTATCCCATGCGCACCGCGCCACGCCCCAGAAGATTTGGCCCGAGAGGCTCAGAATCCCTTTACAACATCTCAGGAGAGCCGACTGAGGCTTACAGAGGTAGTGAGAGGACCTGAGGACACGCCCACTCCGTGCTCAGCTGCACGGTGGCGGATGCGCTCGGTGGTGTCCGCTGTCTGGCCATACCGCCCAGGTAATTAACGATAGACGGTGCGATATCTGTGCTACAGGTTGTGGTTCGGACGTGCGCATCCAAGGGGGGGCGCATAACACCAGTATGCCCCTCCGCTTCCCAAACAGCTTCGATGACGACTGCGGCGGCGACGCCGACGACGACTGCGACGACGACGAGCGTCGACGTCCGCCGGCGGGCTTTCGGGCTTCGCCGCCCGCGCTAGATCTCTGGTGGGGGGGGGCAGGGGGCCAGGGCCGCCGAGGTTGGCTGGGCCAAGGGGGCCGCGGACCGCGCGAGGCCCGCATCACTCTCCACAAGGGGGGAAGAGGAAGTGGGAGAGAGGGAGGGAGGGAGGACGAGGAAAGGAGGGAGGGAGGGAGGGAGGAAGGAGGAAGAGGAGGAGGAGGAGGAGGAGGGGGAGGAGGAGGAGGAGGAGGAGGAGGAGGAGGAGGAGAAGGACCATAAACCCAAGAGTCATCAACGATGTTGGAATTCATCCTCCCTCCAAGCTCCCTCTTCATAGGCCCCTACAACGGTTCATTTCCATTGAGGGAATTGCCTCGTTGGAAGACAACCCGTTAAAGATCCTGAAGCATGCCAAAACAAGTTTTCCCGGAATTTCAACGCCGCGTATCAACCTGACTGCTGCGTCTTGCCGGAGCGTCATTTTGGGGCCTTCAACACTGCGAATCAAAATATTTGCTGCACCCGCATAATCCAAAATCCTTCCAAAACACTGTTTCTGGTCCGTTGATCATGGGAGTCTGTGAAACTCCTGCAAGTTTTTTTCGAACTAATGTTCGCGGCGCTGAGGCGAGAGCCACATCTTGAAAAGGAGCCGCCATCAATCCGTGAAGCTCTTGCAAATTTTAAAACGAATGTGCGTGGCGCGAGGGCGAGAGCCACATGTTGAAAACGGCCCGCCTTCAATCTGCGAAGCTCTTGCACATTTTTGAAGCGAATATGCGCGGCGCTAAGGCGAAAGCCACATTTTGAAAAGAACCGCCCTTGATCCATGAAACCCTTGCAAATGGTTGAAACACATGTGCGCGGCGCTAAGGCAACAGCCACATTGTGAAAACGAGCCGCCCTTAAGCCGCGAAGATCAGGCATTTTTAAAGCGACTGTGCGCGGCGCTAAGGCGAGAGCCACATTTTGAAAACTACCCGCCCTCAACCCTCAATCCGTGAAACCCTTGCAAATTCTTAGAACGAATGTGCGCGGCGCTAAGGCGATAGCCACATTTTGAGAACGACACGCCCTCCATCTGTGAAGCTGTTGCCAATTTTTGAGCTTCAGAGTCATAAGTGGTGAGGAAGTCTCAGGCGAAACGCCGGGCCCGCCATAACAAATGGCCTCGGGGTGCGACAGGGATAAGTTATCTATAAGGAGAAGGAATGGAGGAGGAAAAGGATGGGGAGAAGGAGGAGGAGGAGGAAGGGGAGGAGGATGGGGAAGACGAGGAGGAGGAGGATGAGGTAGAGGAGGACCAGTCTAAACCCAGGAGTCATCAACGATGTTGGAATTAAGCTCCCTCTTCATAAGCCCCTACAGCGTTTCAGTTCCATTGAGGGAACTGCCTCGTTGGAAGACAACCGTTTGAAGACCTTGAAGCGTGCCAAGACATTGTTCTCGGCATTTCCACGCCACGGATCACTGCTGCGCCCTGACGATCTGGAGTCGTGCCAGAACGCCGTCTTTGGGACTTCAACACCGCGAATCAAACTAATTGTTGCACCCGCACAATCCTGAGTTCTTCCAAAACATTATTTCTGGTACGCAGATCATGGGAATCCGTGAAACCATTGCAAATGTTTAGAACGAATGCGCGCGGCGCTGAGGTGAGAGCCATATTTTGAAAAGGAACTGCCTTCAATCCGTGAAGCCTTGCAACTTTTAGAACGAATGCGTGTGGTGCTAAGGCGATCGCCACATTTTCAAAACGACCCGCCCTCAATCCGTGAAACCCTTGCATTTTTTCGAACGAATGTGCGCGGCGCTACGGCGAGAGCCACATCTTGAAAACCACCCGCCCTCATTCCGTGAAGCCCGGGCAACTGTTTAACACGAATGTGCGCGGCGCTAAGGCGAGAGCCATCTTTTGAAAACTACCCGGCCTCAATCCGTGAAGCCCTTGTAAATTTTATAAACGAATATGCGCGGCGCGAGGGCGAGAGCCATATGTTGAAAACGGCCCGCCTTCAATCTGCGAAGCTCTTGCACATTTTTGAAGCGAATATGCGCGGCGCTAAGGCGAGAGCCACATTTTGAAAAGAACCGCCCTTGATCCATGAAACCCTTGCAAATGGTTGAAACACATGTGCGCGGCGCTAAGGCAACAGCCACATTGTGAAAACGAGCCGCCCTTAAGCCGCGAAGATCAGGCATTTTTAAAGCGACTGTGCGCGGCGCTAAGGCGAGAGCCACATTTTGAAAACTACCCGCCCTCAACCCTCAATCCGTGAAACCCTTGCAAATTCTTAGAACGAATGTGCGCGGCGCTAAGGCGATAGCCACATTTTGAGAACGACACGCCCTCCATCTGTGAAGCTGTTGCCAATTTTTGAGCTTCATAGTCATAAGTGGTGAGGAAGTCTCAGGCGAAACGCCGGGCCCGCCATAACAAATGGCCTCGGGGTGCGACAGGGATAAGTTATCTATAAGGAGAAGGAATGGAGGAGGAAAAGGATGAGGAGAAGGAGGAGGAGGAGGAGGAGGAGGAAGGGGAGGAGGATGGGGAAGACGAGGAGGAGGAGGAGGATGAGGTAGAGGAGGACCATTCTAAACCCAGGAGTCATCAACGATGTTGGAATGAAGCTCCCTCTTCATAAGCCCCTACAGCGTTTCAATTTCATTGAGGGAACTGCCTCGTTGGAAGACAACCGTTTGAAGACCTTGAAGCGTGCCAAGACATCGTTCTCGGCATTTCCACGCCACGGATCACTGCTGCGCCCTGACGATCTGGAGTCGTGCCAGAATTGAAAACGACCCGCCCTCCATCTGTGAAACTGTTTCAGTGTTTCAGCTTCAGAGTCATTATTGGTAAGGAAGTCTCAGGCGAAACGCCAGGCCCGCCCGGGGTGCGACAGGGAGTAGTTATTAATCAGGAAGAGGAAAATCGAAAAGAGGAGGAGGAGGAAGAGGAGGAGGAGGAGGAGGAGAAGGATGACGAGGGGGAGGAGGAGAAGGGCCTTGAGGAGGAGGAGGAGGGGGAGGAGGAGGAGGAGGAAGTGGAGGGGGATGGGTTTCGATGTTTGGGTTTTTTCGGACGCTCTTATCGGTTTTCGGCGGTTCTCCAGCCTCGGGATAGCTTCCAGCGGCTTCGCCTCGCCGATGGCGTTTCGGGGGTGCCCGGGTCGCCCCGACCCGCTGCCAGAGAGCCGAGGTATGACCCGACTGGCAGGATAGGCTGCGGGGGGGATGCGTTGACCCCCAATCGCCCACAGATCGCGAACAGGGGTTCGACATCCTCACCCGCCCAGTAAAGTGCAGTTTCGCCATCAGGGGCCTATCTCCGATCTATGGGCGACGTATCACTAATTCAAGTTTGATGTTCCCCCCTGAACTGGCCCCCCCCCGGACGTTGCCCCTCAGAGTAGGAGAAGGAGTTGGATGAGGAAGAGGAGGGGGAGGGTGAGGGTGAGGGTGAGGAGGAGGAGGAGGAGGAGGAGGAGGAGAAGGCCGAGGACGATGCGCGCGCGCGCGCGCGCCCACAAGTCGGCTTCGAGCCTCGAGCTTGGAGGTCAGAGCGCTGGGGTTCGACTGGGAAGGAGGGGGAGGATGAGTCGGGGGGGGGGAGGAGGCGGGGGGAGTGGAGGCTGGTCCCAAGAAGAGCATCCAGAGGCCGACATTGAGAAAAGGCGCCCGCCCATAGTGTCAAGGCCACAGGAACGACGCATGGAGCCGGGGCCGTCTGCGCGGACGTTCGCGCGTGAGCTGCTCTAGTAAAAGGCCGCGCGAAAGCGCCTCTGTTTCCAACGTGGCGTTCCGCGCTGGCGGTCTGCGTGAGCCACCGCGCAAGGCCGCCCTGCCATCTCTCGTGCATGAGACCCGTTTGTTCGCCCAGGTCGTCGGAGATGTGGGCAGCCAGGCGCCGATGTCACCGCGGCGTCTACCCTGGATGGTCGGGTGGTGGGGGGGTTGGAGGAGAAGTAGGAGGGGGAAGAGGAGGAGGAGGAGGAGAAGGAGGAGGAGGAGGAGGAGGGGGAGGAGGAGGAGGAGGAGGAGGAGGAGGAGGAGGAGGTGGTGGAGGGGGGGAAGGAATGGGCAAGCTCCGTCGGAAGGTTACTCGCCCACCCCTCGACCCACATCCCACCCAGAGTGAGACCCGTCTGTTCTCGTCGCTCGTGTCGTCGGAGACGTGGGCAGCCAGGCGCCGACGTCACCGCGGCGTCTACCCACCCTCCGACAGCCAGCCGTGACACGAGGAGAGCGCGGCCCTCGCCCCCGTCGCCCGTGGCCGCGGCGCCCCCGGGGTCTCTACCCGCGCCCAGGCTCGGCCTCGCCCAGGCCGCCGAGAAGGACGGCGCCCCTCCTCTGGGCGGGGGATCGGCGGCGCGCCAGGGGGGAAGCGAGGAGGGGCAGGCCTTCTCAGAAGGCGGCGGGACTTCTCAGAGGCCCTCGCGCCTTTGCGAGGCTTTTGCGCGTTTTCGGGGAAGGCTACGAAAGCTTCTCAGAAGGCCAGTGGACTTCCGAGCCTTCTGAGAGGGCCCGCCCCTCACCTCCCCGCCCCAACGCTCGCCGCCTGGGGGAGCAGGAGGGTCAGGGTCGGGGGCAGGAGCGCTGTGACTCGATGAGGGGGACGGGGCCCTGGCGTCCTCGCGTTGTGAACGAGAATCACGACAGAAGTGTCTTTTGGCCGGTTTTGGCCTCTGGGGGCTCTTAAGGGACCACGGACCGCCAAAAAACGGCGCAGATGAAAAGTCCGTCCCCATACCTTTGGAGAGCAACGTTGCGAGCGTAAGTGCGACGTTGGATGTCTTGGGAGAGCCGCATGCGGGGGTGGAGGCCGAGGAGGAGGAGGAGGAGGAGGAGGAGGAGGAGGAGGCCGAGGAGGAGGAGGAGGAGGAGGAGGAGGCCGATGAGGAGGAGGAGGAGGAGGAGGCCGAGCAACGCATCATCTGCCAGAGTCCGCACCGGGCCTGTTTCGCACGCGTGCTCGCCTCGCTCGGCGGCGAAGATTGCTGGGGGGGGAGGGCAGCGCCTCGTGGACGGTACAGTCGGGGCCCTGAAGAAGGAACCCTTTTCGTTGGGGAGGGGCTCCGTGTTCCTTGATTGTTTCGCAGCTTGCCTTAGATTTTCCTTTGGTTTTCGATACGAAATCGCAGTTTAACTTATGGAAAATAGGGGCCTCGTTCCTTATTTAGGGTTCCTTAGGTCAACGCCTCCACTGTACCAGCGCCTGGAGCATCGCCGGTGGTACGGCTGGGCTCTTCAGCGCAGGGCCGGGCGCTGGCGTTGTCCCGTTCCTGCTCGGCTCTCTCGTCGGTGTGCTTCCGCGGAGATGCCCACGCCCATTGGGAGGTCGTGCGGTTTCGTCGGACCTGTCTGCTGCCGGCTC